AGTCATTTGCGTAAAAATGATAAAAGGCATTTGACAAATTATCACACAAGTTAGGTTAATAGAAAATAAAAGTGGAGCAAGAACTGAGCCCTGTGGTACTCCGTTTGTAATTGTTCAAAGAGATGAAGTGGAGACAGCCAACTGAACTCTATGGGTTCTATTTGACAAATAATCAGCAATACCCACAAAGTAGCTTGATGTGAAAACCCAATCCTGTGTAAAATTTCAATAGCGTAAGATACTGTGTCAAATGCCTTTGATAGATCAATAAACAAAGTAACACAAAGCTTTTTGCTATCAAGAACTTGGATAAGATCATTAAAACACTGTAAAATGGCACTAATAGTGCTATGCTTTTTGTAAAACTGGATTGTGCATTTTGTAAAATGTAAAATCATAATTTTTCTAAAATAGTTTGCAAGAAAACATCATTTAGTAATTAGTCTGTAGTTATTAACCTCTAGTGATTCCCCACTTTTGAATAGAGGCAATACAAAAACTGATTTTCAAACATTTTGTTAGAGATTAAACTGGGAATGAAGATGTGAGATAATGACTCGGCTATAAACTCTGCAGCCAACTTCAGGAAAAAAAAGGATCTGTCCCTGCTGATTTTCTGGTGTCTGTATTTCAACTCTTTGAGGAGCACAGCTACACATACAGGAGCAAAGTTAAAAGTGTCAGAATTACAATTATTAAATTATTATTCAGAAATAGTGCGTCAGTGTCTGCGGTTGGGCCGAATGCATTTAAATCATTAAATAGAGATCCAACAGAATTAAAATGCTCATTAAAGTCATTTAGAATTGTTAATTTGTCAGATATAATTTTGCTTTCATTGAGTATTGTCCCTTGATTTATTTACACACACACACATTGTCATCGATGAGATGACAAAAATGGTTCCAGAATCACATGATCCCATCATACTTCTTGAAAAATCCTGGTCACACTAAGGATATGCTGTCATAATCCTAAAACAGTTCTACATTTCTGAAATAAAAGCTTTGTCTTCATACTGTTGGAGAAAATAAGATAGAGACCTGCATCACTGTTTAAAATAAATGACTGAAACTGATCACAAAGTAGAAAATATGAGGCTGTATCTAAAATTCAGTTAATCAGTCTCAAAATATCTGACAGTGGCAATTTGCTTTTAGTTCTTTGGTCATTTCCACTGTGTCTGTGTCCTTAAATTGATTTTGACTCTTTGTACCCATCCATGCTTTAGATGCAGAGTAATTGTTTTTGTGTGGGAGACATGGAAAAGTGTGTGTGTCTTATCTGAGGGTCAGTCATCAGTTAAGTGTGAGAGTCGTTAGCGGAGGCGGCTGCTTTTCCTTCTCAGCCTGGTTGACCACAGGAAGCGGTGAACCTTCAGAAACCCTGAGGTCAAGCCAGCTCTGTTAAGCATCACCCACAGTTACGCATAATTTCTCTCCACCTCCTCCTCAAAAGCCATGTGGAAAAAAACACTTAAGTTCTCAGGGCTGTTTAGCTTTAGCATCAGTATTTTCATCAGTTCCACACATTTCTTAACATTAAAAGGGAAACAGATTCAAATTAGATAACTTGATTTAGATGGTTTGTTTTTGCAGCAACAAGCTCTGCCTCAGTTCTCCTGGAGGTGCTTTTAGAACAGGACATGAGTTCGGTGGGTTTTTGTATATGAAACATAATGAAGAAAGCACTTTGGCATTTGATGGTAAAATGCAAAATGAAAAGTGTCCACAAGGGTGAAAGAACTGTCGGAAGCACTGTGTGCTATGATTATAATGTGATGTTTAATTAATAAATTAAGAATATGAAAGGGGAAAAAGTAAATGGGTGACAGAAGTGAATCAGTTGGACAGTTTGGAAAAAACAGAAGAAAGAGTAGGCCGAGCAACCAAGCTCAATCTGAACTTAGACTAGGAATTTCTTATATCCTGTTTTATTTTAAAATATTTTTCTTGGGTTAATATGATAAATTGAGACAGGCTGTAAGAAAGCAAGGTCTGATACTTTAAGGTAGCCATGGATTCATTGTTGAATGTGATACATGCCACAACAGGAACCTTGAAACATCAAAACTTTCACAGCAAGGTGGAACAGAGCTGTTGCCTCTCAGGGTGATGGTTACAGGGTTACCTGGACTGGACCCTTTCTTGGTGGAATTTGCATATTCTCGATGTGCACATGTGCATTTTATATGTGAATGAATGTGTCAGGACTTTTCAAATGTGTTTTATTTGCTGACGAAACTTTTTTTTTGTTTAGGTAAAGATAGAGAAAAAATGTTCGAGATGGTACAGAAAGAATTTGAGAAAAATACAAAATTGGTTTCAACAAAACAAATTGTCATTAAATTTGGATAAAACAAATTACATGATATTTAGTAGGAAGGCGACTGTTGATTTCTCATTTAAAGTAGATCACATACATCATTTAAGAACAAACATATCTAAATCTATTGACTGTATAAAGTCAGGGAGTTATTCAATGACAAAGCTCAGCTTGTGCTGTACAATTCAACAATTGTTCCACATTTAATTTACTGTACTGAAGTCTGGGGTGAAGCTTGCAAAAAAATCACAAATCCGATTTTTTCTTTTGCAGAAAAAAGTCATAAGAATTATCACTAGAAAAGATTACAACCATCCATCAAATACATTATTTTGTAAACTGAAAATTTTGAAATTCTATGATTTGGTTGACTATAATATTTTACTGTTTGTATACAAGGCTCACAGAAACAAATTACCTTCCAAAGTTAAGGCAAATTTTAAGAGAGACAGTTGTTATTATCTAAAGGGGATGGAAATGTTTGTGAAGTCATATTTTCGTACTTGCTTGAAAGAAAGATGTAC